GAGGGTCCAGAGTCCGGAGGGTCCAGAGTCCGGAGGGTCCAGAGTCCGGAGGGTCCAGAGTCTGAAGGGTCCAGACTCTGGGGGTCTGATAACCTCTGAGCTAATTCAATATGTTGAAAACGAGTTTAAATAAAACCTTTTCGATTAATCTGAATCCAGATTTACAGACAGATTAATCTGAAATCTGAAATGTTTTTTAATTTTGAAATAATTTGTATCAAAACCTGTTTTTTTTTTCCAGATTTGTAACATTTTTCTTCCTGGATTGTTGAGGTTCTTCAGGACTCAGATGTAAAACCAGAGTTCTCTTCAAAATAAAATCCTTCGTCCAAAACCAGTTTCAGGTTTTTACCTGGACTCAAAGGGAGTCTCGCGCCTCAAACTGTGCTGCTGTCCTTCGGCTGATGTTTTCCACACACGAGCTAAACATCAGCTGAAGGAGGGATCAACTGTCGGCTCGTGAATCTGTATCAGAAACGAAGCTTTAATCTTCCTGTATAAGGCCTTAAGCCCCGCCCCCTCAGCTGTCAGTCACAGTGATTGTCGTGTGTTTCCCTCCTCAGTGGAAGAGCACAGCTTCCTGCTGCTCGCCGTGCTGCAGTGCTGCTCGGTGGCGCTGTGCGGCTGCGAGCCCCGCCTGGTCAATGTGGGCGCCGTCCTGAGCCAGAAGCGCTACGAGCAGGTGTTCAGGGACGCCGTGAGCCAGGCCAACGCCCTCTACGGCAAGGACAAGTTCAAGATGAACGCCATCTCCGTCACACACAAGTCCAACGCCATCCAGATGGCGCTGTCCGTCTGCGAGGACCTCATCTCCAACCAGGTGAGCTCAGGTGACCACAGCATTTAACCCTGTTAGCATCAGAGCTAACTGAGGTCACATGACTGCAGCGTTTAAAGCTGTTAGCATCAGAGCTAACTAACCAGGTCAGGTCACATGACCACAGCATTTAACCCTGTTAGCATCAGAGCTAACTAACCAGGTCAGGTCACATGACCACAGCGTTTAAAGCTGTTAGCATCAGAGCTAACTAACCAGGTCAGGTCACATGACCGCAGCATTTAACCCTGTTAGCATCAGAGCTAACTGAGGTCACATGACCGCAGCATTTAACCCTGTTAGCATCAGAGCTAACTAACCAGGTCAGGTCACATGACCACAGCGTTAAACTCTGTTAGCATCAGAGCTAACTAACCAGGTCAGGTCACATGACCACAGCGTTAAACTCTGTTAGCATCAGAGCTAACTAACCAGGTC